TCTGGATGTGCTAATCGTCAACTTGACTATCGATCACGAAGATCAAAGAATATTCTTCGACACTGGGACGAAACTTTCGTATTTGAGTACAAACTCCTCGTGGGAGAACACTTTGGTCAGATGAAAGATTACTATATTTCGATTGGGACTTTCACAACAAATATCTACAAAATCGATGTCACTCTCGATGAAGCGATCGAAACACTGACATTTGGCTCGTTATCGTTATCGATTTGAAGTTTGTTAGAAACGGAAGAAACCAAAAGGAATTATTAGTACTGAATTATTGAAGAAATATTCTTTGATTCTTGCCAATTCAAACAGATGTAGAGCAGACGTTCGATGAACACGAGAAGTCAAACCGACAATCATTACCAACCCCAAAGAATTTGACTTTAGTTCGAGAACTGAGTTTCGATTAAGCATGATTTTTATATGAAAGAACTTCAGCTAACTATTTTTTCTAATAAATTGCTCTCGCGGTAAAATATTAGGTCATTACTTATGCTGTTAGTTTTTGTTCTAAAAGATCAGATATATATGAGTTATACTACAATAGACGATTGCCTGATTATGTTTTAAAGATACGAGGTCAGTAAGCTTAGGTCTATGGTCATGTCATCTAAAGCACAGTACCTAACCTCAAGATAGGTATGGTTGCTCTCTGCACTTGTTTTTTTTCATACTGAGTATAAGATAAAGTGTTTTTATTTCATTTTTTCTTCACCTTTTGCATGTGTTTATCTGCATGATGATGAGGCAAAAACTAACGACTTCAGTTCGGTAGTGCGACGATGCATTTCTTTCTTTTTTTTCTTCAACAGACAAACACACACTGATGCAAGGGGGAAAAAGCTGATTCCGTGATTCCATGATTCTATTGATTCTATGTGATTCTATGTGATTCTATTGATTCTATGTGATTCTATTGATTCTATGTGATTCTATTGATTCTACGTGATTCTATTGATTCTATGTGATTCTATTGATTCTATGTGATTCTATGTGATTCCACGTGATTCCGTGTGATTCCGTGTGATTCCGTGTGATTCTACATGATTCCACTGACTCTGGAATCACTATGAATATCATTGTTTTTCCCGACTCTGATACCGTCACATCAATAGAAACATCATAGAATCATTAGAGCGATGAGTTCTGAAGATTCCTGATCATTCCAATCAGTAAGGGAAACAGCTGACTCATCGTCGTAAGAGTCAATAAGTCGAGCAAAAACAATGCATTCTCGATATTGCTGAATCTTAGACAAAAGTAAATTATTTTTCATTTCACAACAATCAAATCACACAATGGACCGATATCTAACCGGCCAATGATGTTTGTTTCATTATTTTATGACGGTCAATCAAAGGATTACAGACCATAAGTGAACTTTCTCGCCCGGTAATGATCTCAAAATGTTACATCTAGTTGAAATCAACATTAAATCGTGAGAGAAATTAGATTACTGTTGTTTCTCGATTTTTCATTATTTTTCATCCTGATTACAACTGCTGCCTCGTTTTCTAAACGGGAGCTCATTGTTAATATATACAGTTTGTGAAAGCTCGATGGTATGAAGAGGAAAACTCTGAAATATGGAATATCAGGAAGCAGAAGATCGTACAGATAGTAGATTTCAAGAAGTATGAAATAGTCTGAGTGTTCAAGTAGCTGACTTAAGGTTTCATTTTGCTTGCTGTACCAAACGCAAAAGATAGCCACCTTATGCATATTAGTATCAACTCTTCCTAAAAAGTTCAGGACCACACGATATTCTATAAACTCCGTTAGGGGTATTGCTATTTGTGACTCTCAAGACGGACCAAGGATTGTAATGGAACAACAGCATAACCAAGAGTACGAGAACTACTTTACGGGACTGAAACTACATATTTCCGGCTATTCGCGTTGCCGTCCTTACCAGTTAGGCTAAAAAATGCATATATTCCCTGTTGTATGCATGGAGAGAACGTTCCGTAAGAAATACTCTGTCGCTTATACTAAGAGCATCGCGGACGATGTTCTACAGCTTGCCCACACAGAATACCAAAACACAAAAACATGAATATATAAGGATGATGTTGCATTGGCTTCGGGCTAGGGCACCACTCTGAGAACCCGACCTTATGACCTACGAGCGCGACTAAGTAACATAAAGCCATTGAATGTCAATGAAATGAAACAAAATATAGTTTTTTCGTTGAAATCGAACCTGACAGGTGATAGCTGAGCAGAAATTCCAACCAGTTAAATTAAAAAAGGCATCAATTCTTCATATTAGCTGTAGAAGGGAGCACTCCATGCCTATCATAGATGCTTTTAGAAATAGAAGTTGTCGACTCTCTACATTTTTCTATTTCTCACTGCCTAGTTGCAATTTGTCTGGCACTAATTGAGTTCTTTGATATGCTATTAAAATGTACGCTTTTATGAATCCAAAAGAATCCAATAGTATTGCGATTATTGAGTTCTGGGAAACAATAAGTAGAATCCGATTCACTCTACAATTGCTAGGTTATAAAATTCACTACAACCTCATGTTTCCAAGGCATGGCAAACCAAAGTTAAATTTTCACTGTAAACAGAGTGTATTGATCTGTTTCATTTTGTCTAATTTTTATTCGAAATAAAGATGTCGAAAAAATCAATTTACGGAAAGTGTGGAACAAGAGAAATCGCGATACATCAAAAACTTTCTCTTTTTTCTCATTATCAATGGTGATAGAAATTTTCAATTGTAAGAGTTTTTGCACAAACTGCATCAAAGAATATTGATATCTTCATTGGCTATAGAATAGGAGTGGTCATTTAGTCTTACTTTACTAAATAAAGATAAATGAATCCTTTATCTTTAGAAAATACAGATAAGCAAATCATTGATCTTTGTCCTTTAGTATAAAGGAAAGTAAAAACAAAGGGTCACCCCTATTTTAGAGCAGTTTCAAACGTGTCAATCAGATGGGTGTCGCTGCTTCCAGTAGCCAGGCAAGTTTTCTAGGTGTTCTGACTTGGATAATCAGATTCACTTCATTGACTTTGAAAAGATTAAGAATCGTTCCTGGCCCAATCAGTTGAAAACTACTTGGAAAACTCATTATGTGCCAGAAAATGATTAGATAATCTCGTTGATATGATACAAACTGTCAGAAAACTTGTCACTTTGTGCCTTGAGAGGTGAAAATGGGGCACTCAGAAACTCTGTTTGTTGTATATGTTGCAGGAAATATTAAAATTCAGAGCAATTTTAAATTTCCCTGAAACTTCTCTAGGGGACTTTTAAATTGCTCTAGATTTTAATCTCTCCTCTAACATATACTTGAGACAAAATGTAAGAGGGCTTCAAATAATTTAACAAATTAATCATCCAAAACGATTACAACTTTTTATAGCTGATACGCGTGCTCGTACATTTAAACATTTCGAAAATGTGTTCATTTATTATTATTATTCGAGCAAATTATTCAATTCATTTAATATTGTTAAACTGAAAAAGCTTATTCTAATGTGAAATACAGTACATCGTCAATCCCTCGATTCTTTTGTTCTAATGATAATATGCACGACACATGTTGTAGGAAGCGCACATATCATTTTATTCTTTCAATCGTCTGTTCAACTACCATATTAGTTTGATATATACATTGATTTGATCATTCATAGAGAATCTGGTACACTATTATATCTTTTGACAAATTGTGAGATACAATGTTGAGTTTTTTCTAAACTTGGAATTCAATTATTTCGCAATTTTACGTGCTCATCCTATTCTCACTCTATTAGATGAATAATAGCATCGACCTACTGAGTGATACCTACAAGAACACTTTTTCTCTGCATTAAATAACAAAACCTGTCATATCTAGACTACGTAGTTAGAGTGTACAGAGTTTCAGAATGACATAACCATCGTTAAAGTTTACACCACTTTTCTCGTTACTATAGAAATCTACCAAATAATCTTTGACTTTCTCCTCCCCTTCTCACTCGCCATTGCTAGAACCAAGGAGAAGTTGCAAAAAGCCTCGATTTGAACTTACACACGTGTATGCTTCTGAAGAAAATATACACGGGCTTAACAAAATTTGCTTCTTTGTTGTAAAATGATGAAATTAATTCTACTACTTGGTAAAAAAACGGCAAAAATCTTATTAACTGCTGCTAAGTGATGAAATGTGCTCGATCCAGCTTGATAAGAAGCATAGGCATCCATTTTTTAGGTGTTTTATTGTATGTGATTCCAAGTGATTCCAGGTGATTCTGAGTGATTCTGAGTGATTCTGAGTGCTTCTATTGATTCTGGGTGATTCTGAGTGATTCTATTGATTCCGAGTGATTCCGATGATTCTATCACCGTAGAATCAGCTTTTTCCCCCTTGGATTAACCACTAAAAGATAAGCGCATTCAAAATGTCAGTCCGTAGATGACAAGACCATTATTCACAGTGCGAAAGGGTGCTATCCAACATTAAATAACTGGCAGATCAAATTCATATCAAACATGATGCTTCTTCTTGCGTATGAAAAACCTTCTAAAAAACGAGCTTTCATGTTTTGTTATTATTATATTGAAGTTCTTTTTCGCTACTCAATATGAGCTTTGAAACGAAGCAAGCATATTATCGAGATCAGCTTGTGTTACAGTAAATATAGTTGCTTCAAGAGTAAAATGAGTTAGTAATAGTAGCGGTGTATCCGACAACATCTTCCACACATTTGCATCAAGAAGTGCGATGCCTCCTTTAATTTCAAGACAACTTAAAACAGGCATGAGATTAAGATATTGCGATAACATATCAAAGGTTATTGAAGTGTCGTAACCAAGGTATAAGACTAGTGTACACACTCTAGACGTTAGTATAATATTCTTTTCTGGATGGTTTTCTGTTTGACCATGAGAAAAATGTCTTCTATTGATTAATTGAATATTAAGATTTTTAAGACGAGGAGCACACTGCAAAATATATTAAAGATGTTGAAAACGAAAATTTATATCAGAAATGGTTAAATGTTCAATATTTGATGAAATGTTCGCTAAATCACTCCAGTTCATAAAATTGTAGTCTCTCTTAAGAGAAAGTCGTTTAAGCAATTTCATTTGGAAAAAATTAACAATAACAATCCGAAATGAATACCTAAGGCCCCCCTCAAAAACCGGTCTCAGCCCAGGTACATCCAAATTTGCTGAGATTTTCAGGATATGGTGGGGCTATACTGGAGAGGCTATGATAAAATTTTCAGCCCTATATCATGATGTTTGACAGAGATACTCACCAAACAATGGCCGAAAATAGCTCATTTGGCAAGCAAGATTTCTCAGCCCAGGCTCATTCTATATATTTAATTTTTTTTGTTGGAAAGAGCATGTCAGGATGCAGTGCCTACCAGAGCCCTTTTTTTAAAATTCTTATGTTTTAAGCTGAGAAAAGCGATCACAAGTTCAATGACTCAAAAAACGCCCCAAAAATGGGTGTCTATTTATAGAAGTGTTTGTATATATAGTAAAAACAAAGCATAATTTAAAAAAAGGGCTCTGGTAGGCGCTGCATCTTGACATACTCTTTCAAACAAAAAAAAATTACAATATGTAGAATGAGCCTGGACAGAGAATTCTTGCTTGCGCGTTCAAGAAAGCATAAACTGAGAAAAAACGAAAAAGATTTTCGGTTTTTTTCAAAAATGGCTTATTTTTCGAATAGGGGATGACGGAAATCTTCAAAAATTTTTGGAAAAAACGAGGTGCTGGGTGTGGGTGTGGGTGGGGTGTGGCTTGTGGGTGTGAATGTTCTCTGAATTTACACCCCACCCCACCCCCACCCACACACCCCCGCCCACACACCCACACCCACACACCCACACTCACATCCACACCCACACCCTCAAGTTGTTCTAACCAGAACTAAATATTCTTGTTAAATATTCCATTGGTTTTCAACGAGTTATTTTATCAACCATCAATCAGAACATTAGTCAAGAGAGATGATCTGTAAAACTTTTAGTCTTTCTATTATTTCCTTTCTGGCGATGTAAACATATAAATCAACTTTGCTTTTAAACATGAGAGAATTTTGAACGTTGAATATCTCAAGATAGGAGATACTAGAAAAGTTACAACATGTCCCATCAACTGATCTCATTTAGAACTATGTTTGTCTAAACTTTGAGATCAAAAATCGAAAGTCACCTTTTCACGTGCCTTTCAGAGTAGGGGAATTCAGTAACAACCTGTCATCTCAAAAACAAAGTTTCAGAAATCAAACCATTCTAGACTTTTCTAGTATTCCTCTTACAAACATCGTCTTGTTCGAAAAGTGATTCGATTATAAATAAAAACTAAATTACTTCTCAACATATTCTTAGTCTTCAACAACTCGTCGAAATGTTTCTACTTCATCAAAACATCATACATCAATATCAATATCAAAACCTATTGAAACATCTCCATCAACACCTACACTACCACCACAACCATCAGGTCGTTTTCAAATTCAACGTTCATCATCTTCATCATCATCAGATGCTTCAAATGGTAGTGATGAAATTGTAACTAAACGTACACGGCAACGACGTAAAAAACCAACTCTTTCAAATGAACGTTCAAATATATTAAAACAAATGAAATATAAAACACAAGAAAGGAAGAATTCAGATGCAGCGACAACAACAACTACTACTACAATTACTGATAATAATAATAATACTAGTCATAATGATAGTGGAAATAGTCTAAATGGTACAAAAAAATGTTCATTTCAATTTAGTGATGATGATGATGATACAAATAATAATGATGATGAAAATCATAATACAACAACAACTAATAATAAAAATAATAATATTGATGATGGTGAAACACCTGAAAGTTATGAAGATGAAAATGATAATGAAGATAATCATAATAATAATAAAAATTGTAATATTAAAAATGAATATGATGATGATGATGATGATGAAGAAAATAGTTCTTCAACAAAACGAAAAATTAGTCATGGTGGTAGAAAAATATTCGAAAAATCATTGATGATAAAGAATTAGATATTCAAACAAAACAAGCTGTTGAAATTGAATTAGAACGTTGTAAACGCATAGCAGAAAAACAAAAAGAATATAATGATAATTTACTTGGACAATCAACATATATAACAAATAAAGAAAATAAACAAATAAATCATTCAAATCATCGTTTAATTCTTGAATTAGATAAAACAACAAATGAATCATTAATTGAAGTTTCACCAAAATTAGTTCAACAATTAAAACCTCATCAATGTGATGGTATAAGATTTTTATGGAATAATGTATTTGAATCTATTGATGCAATTGAAAATAAAAAACAAGGAAATGGTTGTATATTAGCACATTGTATGGGTTTAGGGAAAACTTTACAAGTTATTAGTTTTATTCATACAATTTTTAATTATGATAAAATAACAAATGTTCGAACATGTCTTGTTCTTTGTCCAATTAATGCTGGTAATATATTATTAATATAAATGATTCTATCGGATTAAGTAATCTAGTCAAAATTGAAAAACCAAATATACTATATCGGCCCGTCCACGTAACGGTATACCTTGGTGGGCGAAGTTGACCTACTCAATCTGCCAAAACCAATATGACCATCGTGTAGAACGATGCCCATAACATATAGAAATGCATATTTCTTTACATACTTATGCTAATTCTTGGAAGAAAAAACACTAGGAAAGCGATGTGTCGTGCAAGAGATAAAAATCAATATTTATTATGATTTCTTATTTTCGAGTTTTTCATATATATAAATCTGTCTTTTTCGAAAGCTCTCACATCAATTAATAATGCTTTCAAAGCTCTGTACAATGATGATAAGGGATCTATCATTCTGCGTTTCTTCAGAAATTTATTTACGTTTGTAAATGTAATCCATTGGTGAAGATGATTCCATCACGAAAATTCCTTATAATTCATTTTTAGCCTAGAGTAATTGTTCTTTTTACTTCAAAAAGCAGTGCTCTAAATATAGTTCTTTACGCTCTATCCAACCAACGAATTGAGTGTTCTTATAAGCATTTTGGCAGGTGAAGAGAACCGTGACGGAATCACCATCGAATGATTAAGTTTTCCCACAAAATTTTGAAATATTATCTTTTTCTGCAGTTATGATGCTGAGCAGATATGAGAATGTGTAGAAGCGATGTTAGAGCCCGATTAGCTAATTTAATAGATGCTTTATAGTGATTCCATGTATTTTCTATCATATAAGTGATTTGAGGGACATTAGCGTAAATAGTGACCGGTCCTAGCACAACTTAACTCAATCGTTCCCATGAGTTTGCCTGATCTTTTCATAGTAGATAGACCTAGTAAAGTTAGGTAGAAACTAAAAATATCAGCTCAAATGGATGAATAATTATGGAGATATAGACATTGTAATATATGTATCCAGCAATATTTGACCTACTCACGAGGAAATATTTTCAACTGTCAAGTTGCTTTTGAGTTCGGACTCTGTGCATAAAATAGACTCTAATGAGATATGAAAAACTTCAAAAGGATAAGTCCTCTTAGACCTTCTGTCCGGAGTTATAGGCATTTTACTGGAATTTCGCCTATAGCATGATATACACCAACAAATCGAATGACGGTGTTTCGACCTAAGATTTTGCCCATAGACAGATCTCTTGGCCATTAGAATGTTCGGAAAATCTCAGCTCAAAAGAATGTTCTCTTCTCAAAACATCAAGGTCTCAAAAAATGGAAAGTTCTAGCATCATTTGTAAGCTATGGATGACTTTTGAGACCTTGATGTTTTGAGAAGGGAACATTCTTTTGAGCTGAAATTTTCAGAACATTCTACTGACCAATAGATTTGTCTATGGGCAATATCTTAGGTCGGAACACCGTCATTCGATTTGTTGGTGTATATCATGCTATAGGCGAAACTCCAGTAAAATACCTATAACTCCGGACTAGAGATCTGCGGGACAAATTTTTTCGTGTCCCGAATCCCGAATGTCCCGTCCCGAAAATTTTTGAATGATCCCGAATCCCGTTTGTCCTGTCCCGGAGTTTTTCAAAATGTCCCGGTCCCGAATGTCCCGTCCCGAATTTTTTTTGAATTGTCCCGGAACATCCCGTTTGTCCCGTTTGTCCCGTTGAACGAAAGAAATATAAAGATGTCGTTCTATTGAACAAGAAAATCAAGAAAATGAAGAAACAATTGACGAAGATGATAATAATGAACAGATTTAAATATATCTTGCAATATTTTTTGTGTTTCTTTTCTGTTATTTATTTAAATATTAAGACATTTCTTTAAAATAAAAATCTAACTGAACGAGATATTTTGAAATAGAAAAGAAAAATTCGGGACATTCGTTCTTTTCAAATTGTCCCGAGTCCCGTTTGTCCCGTCCCGAAAATTTTAGAATTGTCCCGGTCACGATTGTCCCGTCCCGAAAACGTTTCGGGACAATCCCGAATGTCCCACGGGACGAAACATTCGGGATTTTTCGGGATTCGGGTCTGTCCCGCAGACCTCTACTCCGGACAGAAGGTCTAAGAGGACTTATCCTTTTGGGATTTTTCATATCTCATTAGAGTCTATTTTATGCATAGAATCCGGTCTCAAAGCGATTTGACAGTTGAAAACGTTCCCTCGTTAGATGGCTATATCTAACATATTTTGACGTTTTCAAGAAAAAGGATTTTTATGCTATACAATCGTGACCGAAAATTTTCCTTCATTGATTTTAAACGTATGACAACAGATTGTTTATTCTAAGAAACTATCTTTAAATTTATAAAGAAAAAGAAAGATAGAAAACATGATCATTTCTCAAACGTGATTCCGTCACGACACCTTTTTCTGCCCAGAAAATCGGCAATGCATATTTTGCAATTTTTTTTTTGTTTTTTTATATAGCTAGGCATCTTAGCTACAACTCTTGTAGAGAGAGTTTTGCCACTACATTTATAGTTGAGCTAAGTTTTTTTACTCTTTGAACAGCACTCAAAATCAAAGTCCATTTTGTGTGATTCCGTAACATACCTATGTGTGAGTCATAAAACAAACACTAAAACTTGAAATCCTATGAAACTTTCAGCATGCGTAGAGGAACTCAACTTACATAGCCTGTAAATATTTTAAGCCTTATCCTATTTCATTTCGTTGAGATATTACAAAGACACGAGGAAAAAACGTGATTCCGTCACGCTTGGACAAGCCGATATTGTAGAGCAAGTCGAGCTGAGTTGAATAGTATATATTATGCAACTTGGTATCAGTCGAGCTTTTCACGATCTACAAGCTCATATACTAAATATCTCTGATCATTCTATTAGTCATAAGAAAAGAATGCGATTTTTCAATAATTCATCATTGTTTTTTCTTCAATGGTGAGTCTCTGTGTCTACCATAGAAGGAGTAGCGGGACGCTAACCTCTTTTGGAAATTCCCCACGATGTAACCCTACAAAACACACTATTTAGAAATTCTTAAAAAGGAGTGCATGATGTCCAAAATATCCTTGCATTGAGAAATCTCTATCAACTTTTACATCAATTCTCGTGCGAAATAAATGTGCTATTCGGAAACGGCATAACACATTGCCTTCAATAACTTATATTTCAAATAATTTTTCCATCGAAATGTCGAAATACAATACTGAAAGAGGAAAGTTGGTTGAGATTACACAGTGCACGGTTATTTTGAACATTACGCACTCATCTTCGAGAACGTACAAAAGATGTATTTTGTACTGCTACATCATGGGAAATTTCTGAGAACGTTTGAATTCTGGTCATATCTTCTATGGTCGACACGATTGAAGACACGGAGATTTGCTATTAATGAAAAACAGTGGTAAATCATTGAAAAATAGAATGATCAAAGATATTAAGCATATGAGCTAGTAGTCTGTAAAAAGTTCTACAAAACTGTATATGAGAAAAACCTTTTAGAAATAATTCCGACTGATACCAAGGAGCACAGTATATACCATTCGACATACCTCGACTTGCTCTACAATATGGTATATTTAGTTTCTGAATGCTTAATAGGTCACCTAATCCAACACGGTCTTTTATTAAAAGATTGTGGGAGAATTTTTATTTTGTTTTTTTCTTAGCTCTAAATTGATCGAATGAATTTGAATATTGGTTAAATAATGTTGAACTACCTGTTGATCATTGTCAATTAACAACAATAAAACCGAATTTACGTGTTACACATTTAAATTGTTGATATGAACATGGTGGTGTTATGATTATGGGTTATGAAATGTATAGAAGATTAGCTAATGGTTTTGGTTTAAAAAATAAAAAAAGTTAAAGCACAAGCATATAAATGTCTTGTTGATTCAGGACCTGATATCATTGATAATTCAATTTTTTTCAATGATTTAGTACACAGATATTATTTAGAAATTCATTAGTATCTACTACCATATTTCGTTTTCTGAATGAGAATTAGATACTATGAGGAAAGCATTAAGTTGGAGATAAAAAATATAGAAATGAAGTATTTTTGACATTATTCCTTAATAGTATCAGCTAGAAAAGATTTATTTTTATCTGAAATGATTTCCTAATACGACGAGTACTTGTCAAATCCTTATTACCAAGTTTGGATGAAAAGTTTCGAGAAAGTTTCATCCGAGTCTGTTAATGGGAATTTGACAAGTACTTCTTCTGATAGGAAATTGTTTCGTCTACTCCTGTATTTCTAAACTTTGTGCCTCCATTTTGAATTTATATTTGAATGCAGAAATGTAGAATGTATAGAATGCTTCAATAAATAGAAAAGGTGACAATATATATCGGCTTTTGTTTGAAAAATTATTGATTGGAAGATTCTATATCAGATTTAAAATTTAACCATCGATTAAAAGAACATCTTCGAAAGTTCTAAAATAGCATCCTAAAATTTCTTCCCAATGAATAAGTACATCCTGAAATGTAATCGATAGGCTTTGCATGAATCTTTAAGGAAACTAAATTTTCACACCTATTTAAGATACGTAAGAAAAGTCATCCGTCATCACTAGATATATGCAGGGCTAATTTTAGTTTCAGGATCAAAACTAGGGTGTGGATGCCGGTTTGGGTGTTGAAGAATAGAAGATCAGCATGGGTGTGGGTGTTGGTGTGGGTGTGGGGTGTGCATGCTGATCTTCTATTCTTCAACACCCAAACCGGCATCCACATCCACACCCTACACCCTCAGATAAATGTTCAATCTTTGAGAACTATACTCGACGGGAAACATACTGCTTGCGGTGAGCAACATGAGTTAACAAAACATACAGAAGTATTTGATGTACAGGTATATGTAATATTGTTATATGGCTCCAGGATGGAACATAAGATGACTAGTGCACAATAAATAATATTGTTGAGTGTACGGTGGTCAAAGCAAGATGTAGATGATAAAAGACAGCTATTGTTATTACTTGCACTTGCACGACATTGTTGTAAAGAATAGTTCGATGTTGGTTGCCATGCAGAATGGGAC